TACTAAATTATGCTATTTTCCTAAATAAAATATTCCAGTCTACTAGAATACTTAATTTATGTATGACTTACTAAAAGACAATGTTTGTGTTATTTTTTGATTGAGATCATGAACCGATTGATGTAAGACCACCACCACTGAAAACCTCGAAGCACTGGACGGCCATTTCGTCCTATTGTGGGATTGAATAATTTCATGCATCCATATTGGAAAACGGACATTTATGTACAACTCTACCCTTAATTTCACTGGTTGAAACCATGAGACGATTGAAGCTAGACCACCATGGAAAACCTGGAAGTACTGGACGGCCGTTTTGTCCTAGTATGGGACTCGTCAGCAGTGCGCATCCACGATCCCGCACCCCTGCGAGATTCGAACCCAGGACCTATCAGTCTCGCGCCAGGCACTTAACCAACTAGACCACTGAGCCGGCATCCAACGGTGTTAATGTCTAACTTCAACCAATCCACGAAGTTGCGACACCGTACCCTGAGTTGTTTTTTTTTCAAAATCTTTCAAATTTTCCCAATGGGGAAGATTGTAATTTATAAATAAACCAATGAAATGAAGAATAAGAAGTTCTGAATTTTCATATTAAATTCATTCATTCATATAATTTAATAGTATTTTAGTATTATAGGTTGTGTTAGTGAGTGATGAAAATCCTTAATTGAATTCCTTAGTTCACCTTATTAATCTATAACTCCTTTTTTGACCCTTATAAGTGAGTTGTCTCAAGGTCATATTGTCGTCACCTAAAGGTCGTCTATAAATTAAGGTTTAACTGTTTATAAATTTTCATTCGTGGATTAGTTGAAGTTAGACATGAACATTGTTAGATACCGGCTGACTGATCTAGAGGTTAAGTGTTAAAGCACACGAGACCGAAGATCCTGATTTTTAGTCTCACGTCTGAGATTATGGATACGCACTTCTCAGAAGTCCTACAATAAGACGAAACGGTCGTCCAGTAATTCCAGGTTTTCTATAGTGGTCTAGCTTTAATTGACTCATGAATTCAACCAGTGAGTTTTATTTCATTGTTTTTGTTTTCCAGCTAGAACCATTTATTCAGTTTCTATTTTGATCATATGCTTTTATTAGTAGATAATTGATATTGTAGTGAAAAATTATGGTGATCTAGCGTCAATTGACTCATGATCTAAACTATTGAAAATACTACAATCTTCACAAAACCCCTTCAGATACTAATCAACATATGCTCACTAGTGATGGTCTCCAAGAGGTATTTCCTGGAGTTCTAGTGAGAAGCAGTGACCAGTGGAGCTCAGTTGGGTTTGTTGTGAGATAGTAACTCACAGAAGACAATGATAGATGTGTCGCTCAATTTCGTGGATTAGTTGAAGTTAGACATTAACACTGTTGGATGCCGGCTCAGTGGTCTAGTGGTTAAGCGCTCGTGTGCGAGACCGATAGGTTCTGGGTCCAAGTCTCACGAGGCGGGATCATGGTTATGCACTACCAAAAAGTCCCATACCGGGATGAAACGGCCATCCAGTGCTTCCAGGTTTTCCGTAGTGGTCTAGCTTTAACTGACTCATGAATCTAACTATTAAATTATTAAACTTCCATTTTGTTATAATTACTGGTTGATCGATATCTCATGAAGAGATTCCCTAATAAGAGTCCTAGTTATTATTTCTCTGCTTCCGTGTATACTGTTTCGGCTATTGCTAGCATTCTAATCTTAGAACGATCATACGCCTCTGTTAACAAGGTTAACCTTCAGTTTGAAGTGAGATAAATCTTAACTCCTATTGGTCTGGATGTATGCCCTTCTTCTAGTTGAGCTTTCAGTTCAGTAGTAGAGTACAGTAGACATTAATGCAATAGTATATGCATCTCAAACAATTATGGTTTATGTAAATTAAGTATTAAACAGAAAAGTACCTCAAATAAGAGACCATAAGTTTCCAATGATCATGCTGTAATTGGTAGAGAATGAAACGAGAAGTATATGATTCAGGAATAGTAAAGTGTATCACAATAGTTGACAGACCTGAAGGAAGATTACAACATCAGGAATATATATATATATAATAATAATCTAGTTATCTAATGATTAGGTAACAAAAATATAAACAATAATATTTCAGAAAATAGTTTCTAGGGTTCTAACTTCTCCGATACTCTCTCTCTGTTACAACACATTAGATATAGGATTTCAGATCAATTCAAAATGCTCCTTAGCTAGTGAGTTTTTGATCTAATACTTCATGTCTATGCATGAATTAACGATTTGTAAATATCATAATCAAGGTATGTTAAATGATGAGTCTAACATTGATCAGTTCATGAATTCAATTAGAAACTCAACAATCTTCATAAACCTATACAGAAAAGATATAATCATGTTTGAACTTTCTATTAAGTGGTTTAGATGAAAATTATTTATATGTCTGAAGTTATCCATTCATCATTTAATGTTCAATATAAGTAAAATATCTAATATTTTTCAATGGTTTCTCCTTCATCTGGTGGTTGTATACTACATATGACAGCATGATTTTCAGTGGATACTCCATTTCAATCATCGAACGCTATACGCACACATACGTCTTCTATGAATATACAACTGTAACTCATCACAATTTGACAGCTAGGAGAAGTTATTGAAATGAAGGTTAGATGTTGATATGAAATCATTAGTTGAAATTGTATTGTTATATGTGGGGAGTGGGTGGCGGTACTCATCTATTAAATCAACGGAAATACGTTTGAAAATGTTCTATGGCATAGATACACATTTATTATTGAAAAACGGATCCTTGACTTTATAATTGACAGATCTTTTAGGGATTTTCACGGTTATCATCAAACTTTAACTTAGTAGATAATGCGCTTTTGGGTTTAAAAACAGTGAGGCTCTAATTTATGGATGAGCCAATCAGAGGCGTTTTAGAGATTTCAAGGTTACGCTGCCAACTTCAGTACTTAATGCTAACGTACGATCGATACACAGGGAATTTTGTACAAAACGTAATAATTGAGCGGCTATAACAAATAAAACAGTGAGACTATAATTTGTGGACGAATCAATAAGGTATAAGATAATAGATCACGGATTTTAACGCGAAAGCCTTTCATCTATTTGGCTAGATAAATTTCTGGCATTATAGCTTATGTCAATTCGTGATGAAAACTCCATACATAATTCCCGACTGAGGCAAATTATGACAATTGTTGCGAACTGGATAATATAAGTACCAGTAACAGTGAGTGCTGCCAGGTACTACAATATATCAGGATGATTGGAGAGCGTACAGACTCCTACATAGTCTTGGTTATGTGCATTGTGTCGTTATCCACAAGTAGCATTTTGTGCACTCAACAACCGGAGTGCACATAAACAATATTGAAGCTATGTGTTCGAGGCTGAAAGAGTTTTTGGGACTTTATCATGGCTCCAGTGGCCGACTATTCTGTAGCCATATGGATGATTTCCTCTACTGCATGCATTACGATTTTGGAACCTCTGAACCTCTTTCTAACATTGACAAGTTTTTGAACCACGTACAAGAAGTGTATCCACTTTATTTCCTTGGTTTTGTATAACATCCTTTTACTGTATACTGGCTGTTTGCTGATTGGCTAATATTACTCAAGGTCCCTTAAGATTCGTTCAAAGGTCTTCCATAAGTTAGAGTCTCGCCTTTAAAGCTATATCTAATCAGTTCTAGTTTAACCATGTACATCAATACTGATATATCAATACATATAATTGACGAATACCGAACATGACGTAACGCTCCTCCAACTAGTGATAGATGAGAAGATTTCAATGCACTTGTCGAAGGAGCACATTTGTTAACAGAGACTCAAGCATATCATTAGAGAAAAAACACAAACACATCTATAAAGTGATAGGTTTTGTCACGGTATGATATCAACTTAAAAAACGGCGGAAACAAGGTGGGAAGCAAATGATACGTCAATATTGGTTTTGACTAAGGGTAGAATTTTATGTGTTCATTGATGAAACAAGAGTCTTCAACTAAAATGAAAACACTTGGTGTTGTTTTACTTGTATCTTCCCATTGTTATTTAGGACTGCAATTGATCAGTTTCATGTTGGCATATGTGCATCTTGTGTGGATTGCAGGTACATCCAGCTCATAAGTCCCAAATAGGATAAAACGCGCGTCCTGGATTCCATTGCTAGCTACTATCCATCTTTGCTTAAAATGAAAACAGCTACTGAGTTCTGTTAGTGGTAATTACTAGTTTTAACTACTTTTAATTCTATAAGTAGTATAAAGTATTCATATGCTTTTTATTAGATAGCACTTGAAAACCGCTTGTGTGTTGATAAAAGAATGACTATTGTTATCTAAACCTAATTCTTTTGAGAATGAAAGTTGGGAGTGGTGTTTATCAATATCTGAAGTGACAAATAAAGCAATTGAGATAGTCAGATGTAAGACTTGACGAAAAATAGGTCCGTTTAAGATTTTATTTATTTTAATATTTGAGAACATGAGTCAATTGAATCTAGACCATCATGGAAAACTTGGAAGTACTGAACGGCCGTTCGATGCCGACTCGGTTGTCTGGAATTTAAGCGTTCACGCTCGCGAGACCGATATATCCTGAGTTCGAATCCCACAGTGCGGGATGGCGGATGTGCATTGCTGAGGAGTCTCACAATGCGACGAAATGGCCGTCCAGCGCTTCCAGGTTTTCCATGGTGGTCTAGCTTCAATTGATTCAGTTATTAAATTACCATGATATCCACAGAAACCCCTTTCTGAAACTATGAGTTCATTTAAATTTTATTCATATTGGTTTAATTTTAGGTTGATATTAGCCATTGATTCACCTTTCATTCGAGGTACTTTAAAAAGTTAAGGAGCAATAGATAATTGTCTTGTCGTAATATAGAACTCCTTAATAGTGTACATCTACAATCCCAATTACAAGTGAACCTTGAACCTTCAATTCCTTCGGTCAATACTTAACTATTAGAAGAATGAGTTGGAAGGTAATGGTTTTTATATGAAAGGAATCTTCTAAGGAAACTTTCAATACCATGCATATATATAGTTACTGTATTAACTAAGAAAATATGTTAAGAGTTGCAAACTTGAAATATGATAAAGTATGTTTAATGAATAATTTTCTTTTGTCTTGAAGCTTTCATTTTACATTAACCCAGATAGTTCTTCTAATCCTTGACGATAAGTCGGATCATTTTTTCGTGCACCATACAATTGGACTTTGCTTATATCGACACGGCGAGAAGTTGATGGCATTCTTTGATTGTTTTGACTCCCTTTGTAACCAGCATACGACTGAGAACCTCGGAAGATAACTTTTCTTCGATCAGCTAACAAAAGGAATAGATATATATTTAGAATTCGAAGACTATTTAGATAGTTTACAAGTAATATGTAAATAATACAAAATACTCTTTATACAACTTCACCATTATTTGTAAGAAATTGGTTTTCCTTGTTATGGATATCTTTGACTAACTTAAATTAGCCTCTGTTGGATTGCATACTTTTCTGAATATCAACAATAGACTAATATAAACTTTTGTAAATCATAATCATAGCAACTAATTTACCCCTTCCACAATTTTTTGACTATAGTACCTCACTGGCCGTATAGGTAACAAACATTGATGTTAAGGGAGACAAATCTTGGATTCTGTGCCTAGTGTGAACATTAACATCAAGTTCTAGATACACATAGCTGACGAATTTCCATATGTATGAAACGCTCATCCTAGTAAATTTGTATAACTAGTTTGTTAGTATCTTAAAGAGTATACACATGAATCGTTTGTATTAGGTTTTAAAATAAAAGTCAATAAACTACAATCTTATATATTTTACTCTTCAACAATGTCCATCCACGATCCCACTCATAGGATTTGAACCCAGTCCCTTCGGTTTCGCTCGTGAAATTTTAACCTTAATGGTGGTCTGATATTGATCGATTCATAATATCAAGCAAAAACTTGACAATCTCTACAACCCTATTTTGATATTTAATCTAAATTTTACCAGTTAAGTCACTTGAATGAATAGTTAACTCAATTAATCAATAAATTGAAGAATATTCTTTGCAATGAGAGAAAATATTTGTAGTTGAAGGTGAAGATTATGGAGATGTTGAGTTCTTTGAGATGGATTACTACTTCGTAAAACTCTTATTGTATTTCTAGACAATATCGCCAGAACATATTTCTAAAAGAAGTAAGGGTCAGATTATAATTAATAGACGACTTTTGAGAGACGCTAAACCAACCTTAAGAGTGTCCACCTAATAACTAGGATCAAATAATGGTTATAAACTGATGTGAGGATTCAGTACTATGATTTACAGTTGATGGTTAAGGTTAAGAATCAGATTTAGAGTTTCTATCGTGAACCGACATTGAAGTGAACAATGACACCGGTGGGGACTTGTTAATAAAATCTAACGATCATAAAGTAAATGCTTAATTTGCAAAATGTCCATCGATTGTCTCAGACTCAGACTTCATTGTTCTTGCATTTTCATACAAATTGCATTCTGTTTCCATTGTTTACTGTTCGATCCTCTTGTCTCTCCGCTGTCAGACCTTCTATTCACGACTAACATCATCTACTACTTATGTTAATATAAGTAGTACACACCACAACACCAACTATAATGCCAAAACTCTATTTATGCAAATGGTTGAGTGAATTTCACGTCAAAACCCGAGACCTGTTATCTTATACGTGATTGGTTCGTTCATAAATTATAGTTTCATCGAAGTAACTGTTAAAATTTCTGTTCAACAGACTAACAGCCTCGTTTATTGACCTAGAACTCGATCTATTGTTCCGTGCACAATTATGAAAGATAGGTCAAAGAGTGCAGCAATTCTTCCATTCTGTAGAATAGGGGTTTATTCAAATCAGATGGGGATATACAGAAGAGTATAGCATTTAACCTTCTTGAGATGAATTTCATCTGGACAACTGATCATTAGATAAAACAAAAGTATATCAATCTGGCCGTAAAATCATTGTAATCTAACTGGCAAGCTTAACAACTCATTGAAGATGGTGTTTGAATATTAATTTTATTTTATATTTTTCAATAATAAATCCTCCTTTACTCATTACTTCAACAAACATTCAAGCATCGATGTAACTAGACTATTCATTAAATGGTTTTCTCCGGTTATTGATTATGTGCCGGAGTTTATTTTTTATAGGGGTAACATTACTAGCCCTATAAACAATACTCTTCATTTACTGACGTCAGGACTCGACAGTGGCACTGGGAGGGCTCCAATAAAGGTTCATACACTAAATAAAATACCTTAGAATCATATGAAAATTTATTCTTTTTTATTGAGGTTCGATTAAGGGAGTGACATTAGAATTTAGTATTTAGAGTTGTTCAACCAGTTTCTCTTTCATTTCTATTCACAATATACCTGGAGGTTGAGGGGAAAATATTCTTTTCTAATGAGACAATACCCAGATAATTTCGTTTATCATCAAGGGTTATATCAAACGATTCTTTGTATCTTAATGAACTTAAGTTTTGTAGGTTGTATTCGTCACAAATGAACGTAAGATAGCATACCATTGATGATCATTGTTCACTAGAAAGTTATTCCACGTTATTTTGAAATCTTTTTGTGCATCACTATGTTTGGTATTTAAGTCTTACAATTCTTACATCTCACAAGCAGGATCGTGGATACTCACTGCCGAGGAGTCCCACCGTAGGACGAAATAGCTATCCAGTGCTTCCAGGTTTTCAATAATGGTCTAACATCAATCGGTTCATGATCTCAATCAAAAACTTAATAATCTCCACAACTTCATACTGAAAAGAATTCATCAATTCATTTATTAAAGGCGATATCTTCAGAATAATCAAATCTTGAATGACTTCCTTTAAGACATCAAAACACGGTGTACATAATGTCATGTTACGAAAGTTTGAATTCGGTTAATATTATGAATTATACAAACATTACACTAGTTATAGCTTAATGATCAGTTAATATAACTAGATTAAGCTTGATATAGTGGAGAAGATTTGTAGCTCAGGTGGATGATTTCGATGGGGGTTTTTTCTCTGAGCTGAATAATTTAGTCGTGTAGCTTTCATCGTTCTTCTAAACGACATCATCAGCACAAACTTCAGGTAGACTTCTACTTGAAAGCTCCACGACTAAACCATCCAACTGAAAGAACAAAACTCCATCAAGATCAAGCTTAGACAATCAGTGTTTTTCTTTCTTAAAGCATTCAGGAATACAAATATTACATAATAATCTATATATACAAACTATAAAACTAACCTTCTATGTTGACTACACAATACAATGTTAACACTACAAATGATAACCATATAACTGTTCTCATTATTTATCACTGATTTATCTGGCAATAAATAGATCATTCAAATTGATGAAGATATAAGAAAAGAAAAGTGAATGAAAACAATTAATATTATTGTCCTTTATTTCAACACATAAACATTGGTACAAGGGGGTACCAAATACATATGCGCCAAACAATAACAAGGCTAGTAGTAGTTATCGTTGATTTGTGTGAAGATTGTGATACTGCCCGGGTGCTCAAACCAAAGTAGGTTGTTTTCTTACGAGGCCAAACCTCGAGTCTTACACCGAAAGGTTCGACCCACAAGGCAATGGAACAACGTCAGGAGATGCATTCCTAGAGTAGCTGGTGATCAACAATAGGTTCATACGCCACTTGTTCCTTCTGAATACTGGAGCCCATGTGTACCATTGGTTTGTAATGAGGGTTTTCCAACTTCCCTAGGTGGGACCTCCACACCCATCAACCCGATTAAAGCACCGGACCTTCGCTTTTCGTCCTGTAAATTTCATAATCAACACCCGTGGTGCGAGAAGGCAGAGAGTAGGACGTGTGTGGTGATGGTGGTGGTTGTATGCACGTGGCCATGTGATAGCATTTGGAGAGATAGAGAGAGCGGACTCTCCCTACCCCCGGCCATAACAGGGCATTTGAGGGCAATAAACTTATTTGATTATTATGACTTCTGGATAAAAGAATATTCAGTTTACATAATTTCTTACTGCGATTATTATTACACTAATGTTTTGATAACGTTTTTTTCCTGTTTGCACTTTATTACAAAGCATAAAAATGTTCAGTAAAGAACTTTAGTTAGGGTTTGTAATTGCCAGTTGTTGATATTTATAACTAAAATGGATCTGTCTCTGTTGTCATTTATTCATCTTAAGTGGATTGTCTAGCAAACCAGTTAATAGCCGATTGAATTAAATAGTCTAGCAGACTGACGAGTCCCACAAACTACGCCTGGAGCCCCCCTGGGGCTACTGCCGGTCCCAAGCTGAGATAAAGGAGGAGGGTTGGGCATGGGGTTATCGACCACATCACGTAGAAATCTAACTTGCTAAAAAATACTAACCATAAAAAATAATTTAAACCATTTAAACTCTGCCGTGGGAAGATCTTCACTTAGAAGAGTTATAACATCTCATGGTGAAAGCCGAGTTCCTTCGTAAGTCACAAGGCTGATGCCCCTTCTGACAACCAGAGCAACCATTTATTTAGGTTCATGGAATCCTCATACATTGTGGGAGACTGGGAGAGTCATCCAAATTGCTGCAGATGAGTCCCACATAGAATGAAATATACGTCATAGATTCTACTGCTAGGTACATATATATTAGTGTTCACAATATTTATGATGTATCGCACTCATAACCCTTAAATATATTTCTTATTTGGGTTAATATACATATTTTACTTTTGTCCCCATTCAACTGATAGCTTCATCTGACCACCTTGATCTTAAATGGTTAATGTTGACAATCACAGATCAAAGATCAACAATGATAATACATCACTTCTACATAAAGTTTATACTTATTATGTTGTTCGGAAGAACAATCAAAGCTTCACGATTAAACAATCCAGTTCAGAGAACGGAAGTCTATCGATGTCATCCATTTGAGCTTCTGAAAACCAATACTCCGTCTAAACTGTGTTCATGATTACATTGTTTACAGGCCTCACTAAAAAGCTTGATCTATTCAAAATGTACCTTTTTTCTTGGTACATTATTGTTGATGTTCAATGTGTTTCATGAGGACTTTTGCTCAATTCCGTCGAGAATGGATTTATCCTAGAGTCCTTGTATTTATTAGACAATAAACCAATGATCATACAATTGTCCAAATATTTCCTAATTCCTGATATTAATTTATCATTAAAACAAACCGATTGTTATTAAACCACCTGAACGAATATTAATCTCTTAATGACTAATAACTCGTTTTGTGATAAATTTCATAAACTAATGTAATTTGTATCTGTTCAAGTTTATGGGGTTGGTTCATAAATAAACGTGTTCATCGACAGATTTGCCTTCTTGCTTACATTGATCTACATCAATAAACAAAGTCAAGTAATCAATCATGTCTCCAGGATACTAATAACATAATGGGATTTTGTCAAATCATAATGATCGTTGATAAATCAAAATTACCAGAATAGAATGTATTGTTGATTAGAACAATAATTTATCAAAATGGTGAAAATTAGTAGTCACTTAAAGCTGAGGAGTCCCACAATAGAACGAAATGGTCGTCCAGTGCTTCCAGGTTTCTCATGGTGATCTAGCTTCAATTGACTTATTATGTCAACTATTATATTACTACTATCCACAAAAACCGTTCTGATATTAATCAACATATGCTCACTATTGACTGGCTTCAAGAGGTATAATTCCTGAAGTTTTAGTGAAAAGCAGTGATCAATGGAGTTCAACCTGATCTGTTGTGATATAGTAACTCACTAACGACAATGGTAGACGTATGACTGAATTTCGTAGATTGGCTGAATATAGAGATAGACACTGTTGGATGCCAACTGAGTAGTCTAGAGATTAGGAGTTCGTGCGCGCTACAGGGGTCCCAGATCTGGATCCCGCTATCAGGATCGTGGATGCACACTGTTGAGGGTTCCCACAATAAGACGAAACGTCCATTCAATGTTTCCATTTTTTTCATATTGGTCTTATTTATTATTTATTTATTTAAATACATAAACATTTGTACAAGGAGGCACCAAATATATATGCACTACAAATCATTCGATTCATGTGAGGGGTGGGATTCTTCCCGGGTGCTCAAACCAAAGTAGGTTGTTTTCTTAAGAGGCCACACCTCAAGCCTTACACCTAAAGGTCTAATCCACAAAGCAGTGGAACAACATCAGGAGATGCATTCCTAGAGTAGCTGGTGATCAACATAGGTTCATACGCCATTTGTTTCTTTAAAATACTGGAGTTCATGTGTACCATTAGTTTGCAATAAGGGTTTTCCAACTCCCCTATATGGACCCTCTGTGTCTACGAACCCGGTTGAAGCACCGGACATTCGCTTTTTGTCCTATTAATTTCGTAAACAACTATAATGCCACGAGAAGGCAGTGAGTAGGATTTGTTTAGCACTGGTTGTATTCACATGTCCTTGTGAGAGCATTTCGAGAGAGAGAGCGAAAGCTAACTCTCCCTACTCTTAGCCATACCAGGGCATTTAAGGGCTTCAACTGACTCATAATCTCAACTATTTAAATTACCATAAAAAAAAGATGATCCATGTTCAATAATAAGATGAATAATTTAACAAGTAAAATAACACTTACTTTAGAGAATTTATCCTTTTCAATTATAACAACATTCAATAATGATCTAAATGATTGTTTATATACACAAATGAATGAGACAAATGTCACTAATTAAATAGCTCAATACAAACTGTTGTTTGTTTATCTGAGTTTTTTTTCCCCTTCTTGTCATCAACTGGATCATGGAGACAATATTTGAATGGATCTATACAGATTTGTTTAAAATAATTATACCCGGAAGTTGATGATTAAATATATAAATATTTATATTGTATACATGGTTTAAATTACAACAATATTCAATCAGCTATTTCATATCACATATAGAGATAGATAGATAGATAGATAGATATAATCACTATGTTTATGTAATAAACAGTTTCATAATGTTCATAGGGTTATATCTTAGTAAAGAGTAAACTATAGATACCTTCTAAAGACTAATAATCTATCTATCTATCTTCATATTGTATAACTATTCAGTAAGTAGATGGTGTATATCACATCTATATTCCTCTTATTATAAGCTTTATTTTGATTTATAGATTATTTCAATAGTTGAGATTATGAGTTAATGGAAACTAGATCTGAAAGTACTGGATTAACGTTTCGTCCTTGTATAGGACACTTCAATAGTTAATAGTTTAATAATCATTTCAATTCATAAATCAATCGATTAATATATATATATATATATATATATATATATATATATATATATATATATATATATATATCAAAACAGAATAATTGTTCAATGCTCCTTAGCGTGTAATAATTGTTGACTATAAGTCAATCTATCATGTTTACTTCAGATCTATTCAATTTAATAATGATGATAATCTACTAACTATGAAGTTGATCCTATGTAACCTGTAATGTCAACCGAGTTGTGAGTGATGATGATGATGAATTCCTTTCCAACAGTAATATTTGATAAATTTATTTTTTAAAAATGACCCAGGATAATAGATTTACCAACACCATAATCGTTCGTAAAGAGTTATATGTAGCTGTGACTGCGTGATATGCGTTGGTGTTCTCTATGTTGTATGTGGCTTTTTCTCTTGCATATGTTGAGGCCTACTAATCCATAGACTGTTGCTAGACTAGTTTTCTTCACTTAACTTTGTTGATGTGCAGAAGAATATGATATGAGGAAAGAACCATAAGGTAAGCCCTCACTTGGAATCCTCAAGGCCAAAGAAGAGAAAGACCAAAGAACACATTACGCCGAGAAATGGAGACAGACTTGGGAAGAATGAACAACAATTGGATAGAACCAGAAGGGAAGGCACAGGACAGAGAGGGTGGGAGAATCCTGGTCGGTAGCCTATGCTCCATTGGGAGAAACAGGCGTAGGTAAGTAACTACAGTTTTGATGATCATTGTAATAGTTCTCCACGTTTCAGTTACATACAGTAGGACTCTGTTGACGTTCGTATTGAAGATTCCGACATTGATATTAGTTGACGATTGCTTTGAGTTCCATAAGTTCTTCAATCGTAGTGTAGTGAACACAACACGAGTGTGGACAATCAGATATATTTTACGCGAAATTACAGGACTTGTTAATAAAATCTAACGATCATAAAGTAAATGCTTAATTTGCAAAATGTCCATCGATTGTCTCAAAATGACTCAGACTTCATTGTTCTTGCATTTTCATACAAATTGCATTCTGTTTCCATTGTTTACTGTTCGATCCTCTTGTCTCTCCGCTGTCAGACCTTCTATTCACGACTAACATCATCTACTACTTATGTTAATATAAGTAGCACACACCACAATAGGACTGCTGTCCTTGCTTTGCAAATCCTCTCCTTTACGTCTGTATCAGATCCTCCATGTTCATCGCTGATGCTACTCAGATACGTGAGACTTTGCACCTCTTCCAGAAATTCTCCATCATGCGCGATTTGCGCTGGTGTTCTATGCGTTGTATTTTAGGATCTTGGTTTTTCTATTGTATATGTTGAGGCCAACTGATGCATAGACTGTTGCTACACCAGTTGTCTTCATTTACATTTGTTGATGTGTATGGGAATATAATATGAAAATATATACTACTCATCTAGTATCTTTCAAAGTATCTATGACTAAACAAACGACCAATCATTATCTTCCTCATCTACACATCAGATTGAAATTGTAGATAAACAATAACTGATTATTATGTGTAGTAATTTGTATTTTCACTATCATTTTACACGGAGTGTTTTCTGTACATTATTTGTTGATTTTAGTTTGCTTAAACTGAACATAAATAACACTGAAGTATTTCTATTGATCAGTTTCTTTTACATTGAATGGATTATTTGATTTTTGATTGATCAAATTTAGTCGTTAGGATCATCTTTACTATAAAGTTTTTACAAGTGTTTGATCACTGGATGGTGATCAATGTCAGGTCCTTCTTAGTGCAAATCGAATTCCATCGACCAAGTTGCAATGTGGTCACAAGTCTAGGTGACTCGACACTGCGTGCGCCATGTTGAGATAAGATGGTGGTTGGAGGTAGTCAACAGGAAACCCTGAACCTAGGTTTCGTGGTACTTAGCACTCGTCAGCAAGGTGTACTTGTAATCTTGAGGGAACTGATGCCCCCTGGTGGATTCGATCTCGTGTCACACAGCTCCAACATAATGTTAGAAAATCTATGGTTTGAATTCTAGATATCAATGATTTATGTACACACAACCCATATGTTGATCAAATACAAATCCAGGGACCAAGTGAGTTTGTTTCGATTTCGGTTGTTAATTTTAATACTAATGAGTATCTTCTAGATCACAGATAGTCTACATTCAATACGCAGTCGAACGGACATACAATAAACTAAAGGAGAAGAAATATAATCGACTACAGAAATTCAGATTCTCATTTAAGTTATGGCGGATGTGGTATTTGTATGAATTAATCATTCCTTTGTACTTAATTGCCCGCCTATGACGAATTCCAAATACAATACGTTCATTTGTGCTCATCTAGTTATACTTGCTGTAAATTGAACTATTTCGGGAATTCCTAGTTAGTAAATTATTTCGAATACTTCTAATCATCATAATAATTGATTAGAAGAGATTGCGTTAGGTAATCCAACTTCTCATGGAACATGTCTTCGAAAAGATCTTTAATTACATGTTGGACGATGAATGAACACATAGATCAAGGAACAATACTATCTATCTGGGATACTTAACTGATGATTTGTGGTCCGTTTTTGATTTTACATGATTCAAAGTATATCAATCTTATCTCTTTTCAGAATAAATCCCATTTGTGACAACACACTTATCTCATTCCTATCATCACTTTCTAAACAATTAATGAAAGTCATCGAAAGTCAACCTCATCAGCTGCCTTGTCATTGAAAACTTTCTCTTTGTATTCCTTAATGTTTAGCCACGATCATGTACACAGATTCAAATCATCTAGACAGTGAGTTGACAATCACAACAGACGATGAACTATAAACGTTCAATGTTCCCGTCAACACATGAAGTTCCTAGACTTTCTAACATTTTATCACACTTCTAAGTCTTAATACAACTTTTAACCGACTTGAAATGAGCCATTTTTCAATGCATTACCTCTTTAAAAAGTCATTAACATTAAACTAAATTCCAGACATTATTATTCATGTATCGCTAGGACAAATTTAGTCTCTGGTATAGGAAACTATGTTTCCGGTAAATATTACTGATATTTGACCCTAATCATTTTCAGTCACAACCAATAAAATGATATTTGTCAAAGTCAATTAATTATCCATCTCAATCTATTAGATTCTTTGAATTCGAACATCTTTTTTGAAGTTATACAAACAAAATTCACTAATTATCCATAAAATGTAATTACAAGTAATTAAATAGTTCAAAGTTATCATTTTTGATACGTAAATTTCCCAAAATAATCATCTCACAAAACGGATTGAGACCGGAATTTTCAAATTATCGGTGTGATCAAAATCACTTTGAAACAATAAACAGTTAAATAAGTAGTTTTAATAGTTAAGGTCATGAGTCAATTGAAGCTAGACCTTCATGGAAAACCTGGAAGTACTGGACGACCGTTTCGTTCTACTTTGGGACTCCTCAGAAGTGCACATCCACGATTCCGTCTCGCGAGATTGGAACCAAGGACTTATCACTCTCGCAAGCGAGCACTTAACCATTAGACCACTAAGCCGGTCGGCATCCATTGGTGTTAATGTCTAGCTTCAACTAATCCACGAGATTGAGCGACACATTTACCAGATCAGTGAAAATATTTACTTCAGTGAACTGAACTAAACCTATCGAAAATGTTCATAACTACATACAAACATAGACGTTAATGTTATGGTGGAAACCAAAAACTGTTTGAAATTAATCAATCAATTTCTTCGGTCTATCCAGTTACATCAGGAACTGTTTAGATTAGAATAAATTCACATTATATTCGCATTTTAAGGAAAAGCTTCTAGGTGGTTTTCTTCATAGATCGATATCAGTCCTGGAATTAATAAAAACTAAAGATCACTAGGTAGTTACTGACGATCCCGCCGACGATTAAGTTTCGAAATTTTAAGTATCGTATTGAAACCACAGAGTTGGCACGTATTAGTTTGTATTTCCAACATCAGTTAATTCACAGTGCTGCGAGATCATCTTCTATTGTCATGTGTGATACTTATCCTACACCCGATATGGCTGAACTCCATGGTTCACTATTTCCACTATGATAAATATAGGCTTATTAATTATATAGGAGGCTTTTGAAAATTCTTCGAATTGTATTATGAATTATGCGTTGATTTTACGTATAAAACCTTTAAAAACCATAAATTACTGAACAACTATACCATCCTAGCAATCTTCAATCTATATAAGTCCGTGGTATCTAATATATCCCGTGCTTTTCTTGAGACGTAGAGGTCTTCATAATCCAGTCATTACCTAGCAAAGAGAAGAAAGAAGAGGGTAGGCAACCATTTTCGACACTAGTCTTCACGTAGAACATATCTTTGGACTCTTCTTCATGCATAACTATATACTGTCTGAGGTCAGCATCATCATAGGGAATTCCGACTGGGGACTGAGCTTCATAGCGTACTGTTGATCAGGAAAAGATTTTGGACACACAGTGTAATTAGGTACCACCAGATAGTCCGTGAGCCCCTTCATTACATGTGATACCCATAGAGAAGGTCATGACTGCCGCCCGTGTAGGAAT